GCGTCTGTTCCTCCTGATGCTGCTGCATTCGCGGATCTCAACCGGTTCCGGACTTCCTTTTCTTCGGATTGGAGATTGTAAATCCAGATCCAGAATGTTTACCTATCCCGGCAATTATAGAACGGTACGACGGTTCTTTTTTTCCTGTAAAAACTATCAGCAGTGGTGCCAGAATTGATTAAAAAATTAGCAATGTGGCATAGTTACCTACCTCCTGAACATAGCTCTTAAAAGAAAATTCAGTGCCAACATTTCAAAGGGCGTAATTGCATTTGTAAACAATGGCTTTAGCCGTCGATTTCTCGCGAATAAAAGCTCACTCATGAAAAATAATGACACCAACAGGTAGAGGAATGTTTCTTCTACCAGCTAGCATTGTTATTTTGGAGAGGTAAGATTTCATTCGTGAGAAATTGACGACTTAAGTCATTGTTTACAAAATCAATTACGCCCCTTTGAAATGTTGGCACTGAATTCTTCAAAAAATATCGTCAAGCGTATTGGCGTTGACGGCACCGTCGAAAAATCGTCTCTTTTAGCAAAGATTGAAAGTTTCTTATGTGAATTTTCGGTTGAGTGAAAGGATAGTACAAAGTCCGTCATGTTTCACGCACAGTCTGACGTTTGCTTATGGATTTTCTCATAGAAGTAAAGAGCTACAGAGTCGCCGTCAACGCCAATTTTGCATGCACACTGGAACCCTCTATCATCCGCCTTCCCAAGCATTGATGTGCATCCGGAGCATCCCTCGTTCATACAATTGATTCAGCAGTTGCTGTCAATTTAATTCCACTACCTTATTTGAATTGCAAACATTATTTTGAGATTTTTTCTTCTAGAACCTCGAGAAAAGTAACCAACATTAAGAGCAAATTTTCATTACGTCGAATGTAACAAAGGTAAACAAAGTCGAGCTATCAGTGTCAATCGATGCTCCTGCTATTACACTATATACTGTCCAAATATAGAATCACATCCCATTTTTAAATTTATTTACCAGTCGAATTGCTTTTTGACGTAATCACCTTCCGATCAAAATAGTTTTCGATGTTACTTAAGTCACCCGATTTCTATGGAGATGCCGTTTGCCTTAAGTAACAGCACTGAGAAACCCGTGAAAAGTGTACTTTCGTCGTTTCGCTTTCTCATTATTAAAGTGAATAAATCGAACTGTTTGTTGCTAAGATGATCTCGGTGGTCCTAAAATGATGAATGGGCTGCACGTAAGGAGACGTAATTGATAATTCTCCCGAATATCCTGGTAAATACACTTTGACTTAAGTAACAATAGGGGCCACCAAACGACGTATAATATCTTTTGACTTAAAAACCAGTATTTCTTAGCATGAAAGCTAGCGATTTGCCTTTGTATGATTAAAACCCGGCTGAATATGTTAAACATTGCTATCACTATGGGATTATATGTGTTTAATTGGAAATAGAAATAAATTTTCGGTCATCCAAACAAAACTTTATTTTTCTCGGATCGGTGCGAATGTTACTTACGACATAATGAAAATTTGCTCTTGATTTGTGCGTTACATAAAAAAATATAAATTATTTGGTCCAGTTTTGTGAAATCGCTGGTAGAAAGTCACGCCAAAACTACTTGACAAAGTAGTCAATTACTTCATCGGCTGATTTCTCACCAATAGAAGCTCACTCCGGCAACTTACCGAGTCCAGCTGATAGAAGAAACATTGTTTTAAATAATGGTGTACTTCCCTAATAAAAATTGTATGGTTAATTTGCTTAACGACGTGTTCTGGGTATCATCCAAACCATTTGTGGAATAGTTCAATGATTTGGGTTATCGTTCGTTTATGGTTATTTTTTATTAGGGTTACTTTGCATGTGTGAGCTTTTTATCACGAGGAATCGGTGACTAAATCCATTCCTTACAAAAGCGATTTCGCCCTTTTTAAATGTTTGCACCGACTTTAAGTTTATATTTCAGGGAAAACTTGTCAGAAGGGTACAACTCGAAACGTAAACGTCTGTCGATTTCTCTTGAATGACCACACACCCACGGAATCTGACTACACTAGCTCATAGAACAAACATTTCTCTGTCAGATGATTTAGTTAGTTTGAGTGGCTTTGTTGTCTTTCGTAAGAAACCGACGGTCATTGTTTACGTTTCAAGTTAGACCCTTCTGCCATGTTTCCCCTGATTTCATGCTCGATTTCATGCTCGATTTCATGCAAGCACCCCTCGTTCACGTTTGCCGATAAAGAAGAGCAATATCATTATCAACTCCGACACGCTGCGATTGTTTCGACCACCGAGCTCGACCGCAATCAAACTGCACTGAAAAAAAACAAAAGTTTTGGTGTTGAATTTAAAACATTGACTGAAAATTTAAATTTTTAATTTATATATGTAATGCTAATCTATATGGACTTTAACCACAAACGAAGTGACAGACGACTAACTGGCGAAGAAATCAATTAAAATAATGTGGTTCGCTGTAATAGAATTTTCTTAGAAGCTTGTGCCATCATCCACCACATGGGATAGTATTTTTGTTTTGGTTTTGCACAAAGTTGATTTTGTGTACATTGATTCTTTGACAGTGTGCAAAGAGTGCGTATCATTTTGTCATTTTTTTATGCATTTCAGTTTTGAGTAGAGTGAAAGAGATAGAACCAAAACATTCTGACACATTTGGTGAAAATGCTAGTACAATCCAGTAGTAGTGTTGCCATGTGGTACAATCCAGTAGTAGTGGTGTTGCCATGTAATACACTGAAAAATTTAAATAGCAGGTTAGTCACCGAGCCGCTCCGTCTGTCACTTCGTTTGTGCTTTAACCCTAAATTTTGTTCATTTGTAAGTTTAACATTTAACTATATACCATTTAGCATATAATACATCGAACATATAATATGAAACTTTTTAAAATGAATTTATCATACTCAACATTAATAGTTAACATTGAATGTTGAAAATTTTATATAAAAATTTTAGCATTTAATATTCAACATTATACTTTAAACATTTAGAATTTCAAATTTAACATTTAACATTAACATTGAACGTTTAGCATTTAGAATTTAGCATACAACAATTCAAAAGAACTAAACTGCTTTTGTAAAAAAAATGGCTTCAGCCGTCGATTTCTCGCGAATAAAAGCTCACACATGCAAATTAGCAAATCCTCTATCCAGCTGGCATCTTTAATTTGCAGGAGTGAGCTTTTATTTGTGAGAAATCACTGGTTGATGTCATTGTTTACAAAACCAGTTTCACCGTAATGAAATGTTGGCCTGATTTGACATTTTGCATTCAACATATAAAATTTTGCATTTAACATTTTAAATTTAATATTATATTATTTTATCATTTAGTATTTAACAATTAGCATTTCAAATTCTACATTAAACCTTTTATATTTAGCATTTAGCATTTCACATTTGACATGATGTGAACAAAATTTGACATATTGCATTTAACATTTTGTATTTTAAAATTAATGTAAAACATGTAAAACCTTTGATTCGTAACTTATCATGTGACATTAAACATTTAACATTTAACCACATTTTGTGTTTTACATTTAATTTTTTTCAGTTAACATATTACAATTACCATTATATATATTTCACATTTTCATTTTACATTCAACATTTCAAATTTATCAATTGACAGTAATAATTTAACATTTACGCTTTTAACATTTACTATTTAATGTTTTTAGCACATCATTAAATTTTATCATTTTAACTTTTATCAATTAACCTTTAATAAAAAATTAACCATGAGTTCAGTGCTAACATTTGAAAACGGCGCAAAAGCCATATGTAAACAAATGGTTTGTGGGCCCTTTACTCGCTACCCGAAGAACGCCCACGCAAACCAACAGCATCGTCAGGAAGGGGAAAATTTCCCCTACCCGATGTTGCTGTTGTGTCGCGTGGGTGTACTTCAAGTAGTGAGTAAAGGGCCCACAAACCATTTGTTTACAAATGGCTTTTGTGCCGTTTTCAAATGTTAGCACTGAGTTATTGTCATTAAGAAATCAACCCAGCAAACATTGAATGTGAAATTAGGGGAAATCCTCCCCTTCCCGATAGCATTCTTGGTTCGTGTGGGCGCCCGCATAAACGCGAACCATAAATTGACCTTACCTAAAATGGTTAAAAATTGTTTATAATCCCTGCTAAACTTTAACTGAAATGGTTATGGAACTTTACATGAACGTTTAATGATGAAGTTTCAACCTTATGTATTATGGTTTTTTGGAACTGGACCTTACAAATAATGGGTTGTTAAGAACCATTACCATTCCAAATTCTTGTTTTCTCCATACATTTTCAGAAAGAGAACTATATAAGAACGTTTTTACTTATGATTTGAGAACATTGATGGTAATGGTTATGGTAGTCAGTAAGGTCCATTAATGGTTTTGTATTATCGCTCAACTTTACGTGGAATATATCGTGAATTGGTAATCAGTAAATTACAGGCAACCAATTCGCGATATATTCCACATAAAGTTGATCGATGTTACAAAACTATTCGTGGACCTTACTGACTACCATAACCATTACCATTAAAGTTCTCAAACCATAAGTTAAAAGGTTCTAATATAGTTCTCTTTCCGAAAATGTATGGAGAAAACAAGAATTTGGAACGGTAATGGTTCTTAACAACCCATTATTTGTAAGGTCCAGTTCCAAAAAAACATAATACATATGGTTGAAACTTTATCATTAAACGTTCATGTAAAGTTCCATAACCATTTCAGTTAAAGTTTAGCAGGGATTATAAACAATTTTTAACCATTTTAGGTAAGGTCAATTTATGGTTCGCGTTTATGCGGGCGTACTTCGGTTCGCGCGAAAAGTGTCTTAAAAGTTTTGTTAACCAAAGATAATAGACCTTTATCAAATGTTACGTGAGATTTGCGTATACGATTTAGTCTCGGACATTTTTTTTTTCAGTGTACAGTAGTTTGACAGCTGCGTTTACTGACTCTTATTTCTTGTTTGCTTGCTACCGCACGAGACAATTTGTTTAGTGCGTTTATCCCATCAGGTTTCGATAAAACCAGCAGAAAAATGTAAGTACCAAGCTTCCATTCGAGTGCGCCACCGTGCTAATCAAACTCCCCCACCACCAGGGCCCTCGCTAAACCAAAATCCGAGCTGACCCCGGAGGAGCTCGCCCGCCAGGAGGAAGAGGAATTCAACACCGGCCCGCTGTCCGTGCTAACCCAGTCGGTGAAGAACAACACTCAGGTACTGATTAACTGCCGCAACAACAAGAAACTGCTCGGACGGGTCAAAGCCTTCGATCGGCACTGCAACATGGTGCTGGAGAACGTCAAAGAAATGTGGACCGAAGTTCCGCGGACCGGCAAAGGCAAGAAAAAGGTCAAACCCGTCAACAAGGACCGGTTCATCTCGAAGATGTTCCTGCGAGGCGATTCGGTCATCCTGGTGCTGCGAAATCCGCAAGCCACCGCAGCAGGGAAGTAAAATGTAAGCTCTAGATCCGTAAGATTTCTTATTTTTTAAAGTAAATGTGTATTTCCACCCACTGAATTGGAGAATAAACTGAATAATAATGGAAAATCGTACGTAAATATTATCATCGGTGATTAATCCTTCTCGGCGATAGCGGTCAGATGGACTTCGATTTCGTCCTCGTTCAGCGTTCGGAAGTCGGGCTTGTCCTTGCTGACCACCCCCAGCTCGATTTCCGACGTTTTAAAGTCCACTGCCAGGACCGTGGACAGGCAGGTGATGGCCAGCTGGATGGCTTCCTCCTCGTTAAAGTCGGTCTTTTTCTTCAGCTTCTTCTCCAGATAGCTGTTGGCTTCAGTTTGCTTCACGCCGACCGAGATGGCCCGGTAGCCGCAGTAGTATCCGGCCGGGTCCGTTTTATACACGCACGGCCCATTTTCGTCGTCGTACGCGATCAGCACCATACCTGAAATCGTGGGGATTTGCGTTAAATTAAGTTGAAAATAAATCCTCCCCCCAATCTACTCACTGCATCCCAGCGGTCTCATTTCAGCATTCTGCGTGTAGACCTGGGAGATATCGGCCATTCTCCGGCACAGCACATCCACCGGCATTTCGTAGCCGTACTTGTATCGCCAGTTGGCCGCCTCGTAGCGAGCCCGCTGCACCTGCGACTTGGAATCGGCAATCCGGCCGGTCATCACACATCCGATCTGCTTCGTCAGGCGATACAGATGCGTCACAGTGGCCGGATCGATCAGCTTGTCTGGGATCTTCTTCTGGGTGGCCACCACTGCCACATCCTTTCCCTTGAGGGCAATCGAGGTTAGTCCTTCCTGGTTGATTGCCTTGAAGGCATATTCTGAAGAAGGGAATTTCAGCAGTGATTTGCCTTGTCACCCAAACAAAAAATTTCCGAGCTCCGTCACTTACCAACTTGATAGAGACGACCCTCGGGAGAGAAAATCGTAATGTGACGGTCGAACCCAGCGCTACTTCCACGGGACATGCTTGCCGGATGGTTTGTTTACGGTAATAGATCACAAGTGTACGCTAATCGTTAGAAGTTTTGCGAAATTTTCCCGATTTCAACGAAAGACGAAGGGAACAAAACTATACACCGCTCGCTGCTGTGGAAGGTGATTTGAGGTTATGACAGCGATGAGTTTGTTGATTTTCGTTTTGACGATGCTGTCGGAGTTGCGAGACAAAACGTCAAAGTATATAGTCAGATGTGTCGGTAAAGCAGTGCAATTGAAGATGTGAGCCGGAAGAAATGATAGGGTGGCTCCAATTAGGGGGTAGTTTTTGGTCCAGTCGCTAATTGGGTTGTTTGGAGGTATTGTGTAGATACATATTCGTTATCTGCATTAAAATGGAACCGACATCCAAGATTTCATCAATTTTGGTACACTGGAACTCTTTTAATTACGAGTACGATTTCATTGATATCAACACGAAACGAAAATCAATTATTTTATTCATTTGTTTCACTTATATATTTTTGCCAAAACATCAACCTTATATATTCCATAAGACAAACCACATAGGTCCTATAAGAATGCAAAAAAGGTATGTGTGACTGCTTATACATTTCATTTGACACATGAGCTTCATTAACTTTTTGCAAGGTGTCTGCTTATTAGTTGACTTATACATTTTATGAATAATCAGCAATAGAAATTTGCAAAAAGGTATAAGGAGATTTCTATCCGTGAACTTGTCCTTTCATTATGTCGAAAGTAAAGGCCGGCGCACAATAGATACGTTTTCGTGTTTTTTGACAGATAATGCATGGGCATACTGTCAAAAAACTGAAAACGTATCTATACGCCTTTTTAATGCACCACCAACGTAGAGTGCGCCACGCGAGTTCGAGAAGAAACGTCAACCAAACCGTTTGTTTACATCAGAATAAGTATTTTCCCCAACGCAAATAACAGCATTTTTCATTCAAAATCTTGCCAATTTCCATCGGTAATTGTCTAATTGTACGATTTTCCACAAATCTGAAATGATTTGCACCTTAACTATTCACACACAAGAAATCCGGAAGACCATAACCACTAAGGCACATTTCTAACTATCCATTTTTCTCAACAAAAATATTCCTGAACACCAGCAGGATCTTTTCAAAAACGTTACAGAATTAAATTTTTCAACTGTAGATTAAGTTTTGCAGCATCTCAGATGAATCAATTGATCAGGGAAAGTAAAAAAGTGTTCCGCTTCCTATGTCTCAAGGCCCAAAATTATGCTCACAACACTCTTTTTGACGTTCTCCTATTCACCACCAGAGGTTGAATCGATCGTTTAGTTTCTAGAGTTTCTATTAAAAAGGCCTATTGTGCGCCGACCTGAACATTCGCACCTATCCGAGAAAAATAAAGTTTTGTTTTGATGACCGAAAAGTTATTCCTATTTCCAATTAAACACATATAATCTCATAGTGATAGTATGGGAATTTGCAGAGCGAAAAGAAAAAACACGCGTTTGTTTTGGTTCGTTTGATAGGACTGAATGATGCACGTTTATTTAAGAGTAGCAAATATAGGGTAAAAACACGGCTGAGCAAATTCTTAAGTTACACTAGTCAACACTCCCCCTTAACTAAGAATTTGAGAGATTCCGAACACTGCTTTGAATTGTCCAGGGACCGCCTTTGTCAGCGCGTCTGCCTTCTGGTCACCAGAACGGATGTACTTCAACTGCATAGTGTGGTTCTCCAGCTGCTCTCTGACAAAATGATGTCGCACGTCGATGTGCTTACTTCTCGGCGAGTTCCCGATCTCCTTCTCCGCTAGGCACATCGCACTACGGTTGTCGCAATGAATGACAATCGGTTCCTTCTTGCCCAACAACTCCGCACAGAAGCCACGCCACCACAGAGCCTCTTGTGATGCCGCCGACAAGGCCATGTATTCGGCTTCCATCGTAGAAAGCGCAACAGTCGGCTGTTTCCGGCTGCTCCAAGACACCGATCCGCCTCACAACTGGAACAAATATCCTGTGACCGAGCGCCTCGAGTCAGGATCGTTTCCCCAGTCCGCATCGCTAAACCCCTCGAGCACTGGGTTCGCCATCTTCTGGAAGACCAATCCGAACGATTTGGTACCCTGAAGGTACCGTAGAATGCGCTTGGCCGCTGTCCAATGGGCTTCACCCGGATTACTGCAAAAACTGCTAACTGCATTCACGGCATACGCTATGTCGGGACGAGTGCATTGAGACAAGAACAGTAGTCCACCCACTAGCTCACGGTACGGAACATTCTGCATCCTTGCTTTCTCCTGTTCGGTTTTCGGACTCATTGCTTTTACGAGCCTCTGGCTCACTTCGGCCGGTGTCGATGTCGGATTACAGTCCACCATGTTGTATTTCTGAAGCAGCTCCTCGATGTATCGCTGTTGATCCAGCACGATAGTGCCACCGTTCCTGGTGATCCGCATTCCAAGCACTTGGCGGGCCTCGCCCAAATCCTTCATGCGGAACCTTGCTGACAGTTGACCTTTAACTGCATCGAGCCACTCCAGAGCATTCGAGAACAATAGCAAATCGTCCACGTAAACTGCAACTATGATGATTCGCTTCCCATCCGACATCAAATACACGCAAGGGTCATAACTGGATCGTCTGAAGCCAATTCTCTTCAGATCCGTGTCCAACTTCACGTTCCAGACACGGCTGGCTTGTTTAAGGCCGTACAGAGCCTTTTTAATCGACAAACCTTTCTTGGATCCTTCTGAACAAACCCCTCAGGTTGCTCCATGAATATCTCTTCATCGGACAGTTCCCCTTACAAAAAGGCAGTGACTGCATCCATCTGATGAATCTGCAAGTCTAGCTGCGCTGCCATGCCCATCAGATATCGGATACTGGCATATCTGACAACGGGAGTAGGAGTAGGTCTCGTTGTAATCGATGCCCTTCACTTACAAAAACCCCTTGATTACGACACGAGCTTTGTGTCGATCCAGCGATCCGTCAGAGTTCATCTTCTTCTTCAGTACCCACTTGCACTTTAGGGCCTTGCGTCCTGGTGGTAGGTCGGTCAGCTCCCAGGTGTTATTCGACATCAGCGCCTCGAACTCGGCTTCCATAGCACGCTGCCACAACTGCTTCTCATCGGACTCCATCGCTTCTTGGAAAGACTGCGGCTCCTTCGATGATTCCTGAGACACGGACAACCTTTTAGGAATAACACTGTACGTCATATTATAATCTTGATACTTGCCTGGGATATTGCGCTCCCGTTCACTGCGCCTGATCGCGAGAGGATCTACAGATTGTGAAGGGAGCGCGACGGTTTCTGCTGAGGTTGGTTCTAGAGATTCGATTGCACTGACATACAACGGTCCGGGGCCATCGTCGTCGTCGGCTTCTGCAACATCTTCCGGCTCACTGCCATCTCCATCGCTGGCTTCTGAAACATCTTCCGGCTGACTGCTATCTTCGTCGCTGGCTTCTGAAGTTTCCTCCGTTTGATCAACTCCCCCTGCGCCTGATTCGTCACCAAAAATAATTTCGTTCGTCATCGTTCGACTTTTTGGCAACACTACGTCCTGAGATTCCACCGAACGCTGTTCCTCCTCGCTGAGAAAAACTACATCACGAACGACTTTCACCGTTTTCGTCTTTGGCAGGTACACTCGATATCCTTTCGACTGATATGCAAAGCCAACAAAGATTCCCGGTTCGGACTTGGCATCCCACTTACGCCTGCGTTGCTTGGGAATGTAGCACATCACCTTTGCACCAAAAACCCTCAGTTCCGACAAGTCTGGTCGCTTTCCAGTGAAACGCTCCTCCGGCGTCACCGGAACACCTTTAGTCGGTGATCGGTTAACCAGGAAAGTCGCCATCGCCGTAGCTTCCGCCCAGAAGCGCTTATCCAGGTCTGCATCCAGCAACAAACAACGAGCTTTCTCCACAACGGTCCTGTTCATGTGCTCCGCTAGCCCATTCTGCTCCGGATTATACGGTACTGTCATTTCGTGACGAATACCGCAGCTGCGCAGGAACCGTTTCATGCCGGTGTTCACATATTCGGTGCCATTATCAGTTCGAAGTCCTTTGATCCTTTTTCCGGTCTGATTCTCCATCAATGCTTTGTACCTAGCTTTGTACTCTTTGAAGCATTCGAGTACCTCTGTTTTCGACTGGAGAAAATACACGACCAACTTGCGACTCGCATCGTCGATGAACGACAGGAAATATTTACTTCCGCCGATCGATTCCTCCTCCATCGGACCGCACAGGTCCGAGTGGACCAGCTCCAGCACCTCGGTCGCACGAGTGCCCTCGTTGTTGAACGGCTGTCGAAAGTGTTTCCCTTCCAAGCAGGTGACACAAGCAGGAATCTTGGCGTTACCGAAATCAATCCCATCAGCCAACCTTCGGAGCTTGATCAAACTCTGCTCGTTTAGATGCCCCATTCTCCGATGCCACAGTATGATGTCATCCTTCGACTTCACAGCGCACGACATTTGCTTGTTGGTCAAACACAGCTTGTACAGACCACTTGTCTCCTGACCAACGGCAACCAACTCGCCGCTATTGGACCGCACCTCGCACGTTTCCTTCGTGAACTGAACGCTGTAGCCCTTACTGCACATCCTGCTGACCGAAAGAAGGTTGATCGCTATATCCGGAACGCACAATACATCGGACATCGTCAAGTCGCAGGGCTCTTCTCCAATGTCTGCCTCTAGCTCCACACTCCCGGTAGCAACTACGGACAGTTCAGCGTCGTTGGCTACACTCACGCGCTGTGACGTTTCCTGCACGTTCAGCAAAAACGCCTTACTACTGCACATGTGCGATGTAGCTCCTGAATCGAAGAACCAGTCCGATTCACTTTTCCTCGGGTTCTCAAAGGTGGTCATCGCTGCGTTCCTTTTACCGGATTTTTCCTTCTTGTCCTTCGGTTCATTCGGTCCTTTCTGCTGACACTCCGAAGCAAAGTGACCAAATTGCTTGCACCTGTAGCACTGGATCTTCGATTTGTCAGTCTTCTTCTTGCTACCAGCCGTCTTTTTCTTGCTGTAGAAAGCCTCTTCCTTGCTGCCACCCGCCAAAATGCCGCCGATTTTCACGTCCTGGAGGATTTTCGCTTTCACTGCATCCGCTGTAATACGCGTTCCCGATGCTTCCAAGCCCATAATCATCGGCTCGTATGACTCTGGCAAGCCCATCAACAGCAGACACGCCAGCCAAGTGTCATCGACCGCAAAACCAACTTCCGTCAACTTGTGGCTGGTCGTCATAAGCTCATTCCGAAAAGCATCCTGCAGGTTCTTCCATGCTTGCTTTGCCGTTTTGGCACTCTGCACCAGGCTGTAATTAACTGGTTCTATGCTGAGGCATATCGTCGCCAATCCTCGCAATGAAACTGCGTCCTGCGGATCCTGCTCTTGCCGTGTAACTGCGTCCCATGTGCCTTCCCGGATCATCAGCATCTTGGTGGCAAACGCTCACGTCGAGTAGTTTTCTCGGCCACGCAACCTGTCCACTGCTGGCAGCGAAATACTGCCTCCTACTGCACCTGTTCTTCCTTCTACCTGGCTCCCGGATCTGCCTCCACCGTTGCTACCGCCGTTTCCTCCGCCTGTCGACATTCCAAAACTTGGAACTCGCGGACAAAACTCGAATTCGAAACTCGCGAAAAACTTATAACAAAAACGTAACAGCGCAATAAATTTTTCCGCTTGCTGGGGCCCATAACCTATGGGAATTTGCAGAGTGAAAAGAAAAAACACGCGTTTGTTTTGGTTCGTTTGATAGGGACTGAATGATGCACGTTTATTTAAGAGTAGCAAATATAGGGTAAAAACACGGCTGAGCAAATTCTTAAGTTACACTAGTCAACAGATAGCAATGTTTAATATAGTAAGCAGGGTTTTAATCATACAAAGCAGATCGCTATAGCTTTCATGCTAAAAAATATTGGTTTTTGATTTAAAAGCTCGGTCAAAAGTTATTATACGTCGTTTGATAACCCCCTAATGTTACTTAAGTCAAAATGTATTTAACAGAATATTTGGGAGAATTATCAATCACGTCTCCTTACGTGCAGTCCATTCCCCGGTCATCATTTTAGGACCACCGAAATCATCTTAGCAACAAACAGTTCGATTTATTCACTTTAATAATGAGAAAGTGAAACGACGAATGTACACTTCTCACCACAAACGAAGTGACAGACGGAGCGGCTCGAAAACTTTGGTGATTAACCTTCTATTGCAATTTTTCAGTGTACCACATGGCAACACCACTACTACTGGATTGTACCACATGGCAACACTACTATTGGATTGAACTAGCATTTTCACCAAATGTACTAGAATATTTTGGTTCTATCTCTCTCACTCTACTCAAAACTGAAATGCATAAAAAAATGACAAAATGATACGCACTCTTTGCACACTGTCAAAGAATCATTGTACACAAAATCAACTTTGTTCAAATCAAAACAAAAAAACTAACCCATCTGGTGGATGATGGCACAAGCTTCCAAGAAAATTCTATTACAGTGAACCACATTATTTTAATGGATTTCTTCGCCAGTAAGTCGTCTGTCACTTCGTTTGTGCTTCTCACGGGTTTCTCTACGTTGTTACTTAAGACAAACGGCATCTCCATAGACTCAATTTAATAAATCTGAACTACCAAATTGGCGTTGACGGCGACTCTGTAGCTCTTTACTCCTTCGAGAAAATCCATAAGCAAACGTCAGACTGTGCGTGAAACATGGCGGACTTTGTACTATCCTTTCACTCCAGCGAAAATTCTCATAAGAAACTGTTTATATTTGCTGAAAGAGCAAATTTTTCGACGGTGCCGTCAACGCCAATTAGAAAAGCAGCAGTGAAGATATGCAAGGGGGGGAGGTGGCTGTCAAATACGAACAATCGTCGCCTACCTCGCATGCCTCGCATAACTGGTTCCAAACGTAAACACGCCATAAGAAACATACAGCGTTTGTTTACGTTTGGAACCAGTTTCATACAAGAATGATCAGTAGGCTGATTTGACAGCACGTCCCCCCCCCCCCCCCCCAGAAGATATGTGAAGACATTTCGACCATTTTGATGAAGAATTTTTCAAAAGACACCTGGCATCCCTGCTAACATTTTAGTTTGTCTTATCTGCTGTCAGTAGCTATTGGCAAATCAAAGTTGTTACTCGTGGAGAATAGAAGAACTATGAGAGTGATGATGGTTTCAATATTTTCCACGGGGAGGTATACGAGTGCAATCTTAAAATGCTTTTATTTCGCAAATGGAGCGTTTTATTTAAATCTGGTTGCTGCTACAGTTGTAGAAAAGCTGAAATCTATGTATACACATACAAATCGGAAAAGAAATTATTTTTTCTATATTATATGTCTATTGAGTAGTCCTTAAGTTTTCTACAAACGTACCACTTACCAGATTTAAATAAAATGCTCCATTTGCCAAATACAAGCATTTTAAGATTGCACCCGTATACCTCACCGTGTAAAATTTTGAAACCATCATCACTTTCATAGTTCTTCTATTCTCCACGAGTGCCAACTTTGATTTGCCAATTGCCCGTTTAGTTTTGTTTTGCTCGCCTCGGTGTGTCAAGTCGGTGTTTCTGTCCGCTGATCGTACGCGTGAAAAGTTTGCAAATCCAATTTTCACCTCTGGAGAGATTAGTGAATATTCCTCGGAACTTTGTGTTATTTTTTCGTGAATCAAGTGAATATATCCCAAAACGTTATACAACAAGGTAAGAAGAATGAGTTCTCTATACTGGTGTCCACAGGCGATAAACCGACATGACCATGTTCGCGGAAGACATTTAGCTGAGCCACGAACAAGCGGGCAAAATTTATGAGTTGGTTTGTGTCCGATCTATTCTGAACAAAATATTTGTATCTAGATAAAAAAAATCCAATGGTTTTGACGGATCGGATCGCTGCATGCACATTTGAATCGGCCGTTATAGATTTTCAACCAAAAGGTAAGTTGAACTTTCATCACCGACAAACCGACATGAAACTTAAACTTAAAGGCCCAAGCGGAACGGCAGCGGCAGCGGAAAAGCCCGATCTGAGTAAGCCTACTTGTCGGATTGAAAACTAGTTAGAATCAAATCGACTTCAGTTAGGCATTTTCTTGATGCCATTTATGACAACTGTCAAACTTTCCGTTTCCGTTCCGCTTCCGCCCACATTGCGCTTGGGCCTTAACTCTTGATCTAGAATCCATAACAGCCGATTCAAATGTGCAGCGATCCCATCTATCAAAACTAGAAATACACAGAGGAAGAGATGGGCGGAGAGAATGTTTTGAGCCAAATGAACTGTCATAATCTGAGCCAATCTAACATTCCAATTAGAATTTTTCCGAAGATTTCTTATTTTTACTAGAATAATTTTGAGAGTATTGCAATCGAACAGAAATTCAATCACCTTTATATTTTGTGTGCTTCTCAAATTCAAGTAGTTTTTGGAACCAAAAACAATATTCTAACTCTATTGATTAATTGATCTTCGTTGGTTAATGAATGGCACCAAGAAATGTGCAAAATATTGCGATGCAATCAATTATTATTTTGCTCGTAAATCGAATCAAAAATAAAAGTCATTTGAAATGCTAGCTTCTAGCAAGGGTTGCAAGATAATTTAGGAACAAATCCCTGCTACCGAATTGTATTTTGTTTTCTCCGCCTATCTCTCCCTCTGAGTTTTTCTAATCAAAACCATAGGAATGCTTTATCTAGATAAAAATAATTTGTCCGAAATAGATTAGACACGAACCAACTCATAAATTTTGTACGCGTGTTCGTGGTTAGGATAAATATTTTCCTCGAACACGGCGGCAGATGTCAGTTTTGTGCTTTGATCAGAATTTTCTTTGTAATTTGTTTGATCATTCATGTCGGTTTGTCGGTGCTTTCATTTCGTTTTGTCGGTGATAAAAGATTATTTGTTTGAAATTAAGGCCATTTTATTAAAAAAAAACATCGTTTATGTTAATGAAAATCGTAACAAAAAAAAAAAACTGAAAAATCGCATAAAATTCGACCCATCGGGCCCGGGAACCGCAGCGGCTCCGCATCAGTTGCCAACCCTCTGACGGTAACCTCTGTTGTAGAATGGCAATTTCTCCTCGGTCAGCTGTTTGATTTTGGACTTTTCCAATGCCACGCTCGGCACCAGGTGGCAGTTAGATCTCCTGTAAATAGAATAATCGATTTAAACCCTTCACTGGAAAACCTTCCCGCATTGTCCGTGAGAATACTTATGAATCGGCTTCGCCGTTTGACTCCACGGCCAGGACTGTTCCAGTTTGCTCACGCGCTCCAACTTCTCCTGCTTGAGGCGTTCCTCTTCGCTGATGTCCGGATCCTGATCCTCGTCCGAACCATCCTCTCGCCGGTCATATTCCTCGTCTAGCTCCCTGGGAGGGACAACGTCCAACACCTCCGATTCATCGAACAACATCTCCAGTATGGCCGCTAAATTTTCCTCGTTTTCTTCCGAATTGCGCCAGTCTTCCTCCTCATCTTCCTCGTCGAACGATTCGCATTCCTCCGGGATGGTTTCCCGTACCAAACTGCTGCGAAGCGACGCCGGAAGCTCCCGTTGCAACTCCGGAGGAGCAAATTTGGTCAGCGCTTTCGTTAGGTAGCTGAGCGTGGCCTGGATCTGCATCGGGATGATGCTGATCTCGTTCAGCTGCTTCTGCATCTGCCGTAGCTGTTCCTCCACAACGGCTGCGTTCGTGTACTCGCAAGACTCGCACGATGGTGAACGGGTAGCCATCGCCGGTGGTTCCGGAGTGTACTTGGGGCTGTACGTTCCCGATCGGGAACGGGACGATCGGGATTGGAATCGGAACGATGGCGAAGGGGACGCTGAAATGTGAGATTTTCTTTTCGAATCAGTGGACCTGGTGTTTTTTTGAAAAAAAAACAACGTTTCTGTTTTATTCGGTTCGGTTATAGCAAAAGTTAATAACATTTCGCAAACTACGTTGTAAGTCATCTCGATTCAAAACACAGGTGTGTTTGTGTGTGTGCAACAAAACCCTCCCGCTGCTTCCGCTTCCGTCGATCTTCCCTATATACTTGTAAAAATTGTAAGTGTATGCGTGTGTATAAAATTAGCCTTTTCCATCTTTGGTAAGAGTACATGTGTTAGTGTTTTAGCTACAAGTTAAAAGTAAGTACATCCTAGTTTGACAGATTCGTTTGCGCTCAAGCTTCATCCGGGATCGGATCCGCGGCAGCCGCCGGAGTGGACATCAGGCCCTGCGACAGCGACTCTTCCTCGGACGTTTCGCTCTCGGTGCGCTTCTGGAACGACACCTTCTTCTTGCCCTTCTTGGCCTTCTTCTTCTTCTTCGGCTTCGGTTGCGGTTCCGGTTGCGGTTCCTCGTCCCAGTCGTCGAAGTCGTTGCGTGGTCTCGGTCCGGTCGGCAGCGACAGCATCATGTGATCGATGTATTTCTGACGTTCCTCCGGTTTCTTGGCCGTCTCAATCAGCAGCCGGCGGATGTTGGCGATCAGCCGCTGATGGGGAGCATCCTTGCCGTATACATCCGGTGGAATCGGTGGTGGAGGCTGCTGCCATACGATCGGATGCCACACCTTACGCTCCGGTGGTTGGATCCAATCTTCTGCTCGGCGGCGGCCGTGGCAACAGTAAACAGAAAACAAGAAGAATTGTTGAGGTTAGTACGAGGAATGCGGGGGATTTCGGGAAGGTAAATACAACATACCACGTCCTTCGTTTGACTTGTGCTTGGGAGCGGACGGGTTAGTGACTTCATCCCTGGCGTCTTCATTATCGGCGAACTTGATTTCGCGGGTTTCTTTCGGTTTCTCCGGCATCTCCGGATTTTCCGGGTCCTGCGGCTTTTTGACCGCTTCCTCGTCTTCCCTGTAAAAAGGAGGTTTATGTTGGATTAGTTTTAAGGCTTAACTGCTTAGCTATTAGGGAAATATGGCTCTATTATTGGCCTATGAATCTAAAGATTGGGTCCATCGATAAAAATCTAATTTTCATGAATTTTTTCGTGGAACAGCGTCATCTGGACCACACAAATGAATGTGTTGAAAAATGTCAAAAAATGCATTCCTTCGAAATTTTTGTATGGGCCCAATATTAAGGATACTTATGGCGGTTGGATCTGTCAAATGTTTGCAACGGATCGTATTGATTAAAATCGACGGCGACAATAAAACAGCCGGCATTCGTCATCGGGATTTAATCCGAGGATAATACCGGTTGGAACTTACCACCATTAGACTGACAGTAGGGACATTAACTTTATTTTATTTTTTATTTTTCTTAAAGCAACTGAGTGTACCTCAGACCCGAGCTCAGACCAATCAAACTCACATTCAATGCATACATTCTATTTCAGATTCTGTGTCTACATCACCGACAAACCGACATGAATGATCATACAAATTACAAAGAAAATTCTGATCAAAGATCAAAACTGATATCTGCTGCCGTGTTCGTGGAAAATATTTATCCTAGCCACGAACACGCGTACAAAATTTATGAGTTGGTTCGTGTCTAATCTATTTCGGACAAATTATTTTTATCTAGATAAAACATTCCTATGGTTTTGACAGATGGGATCGCTGCACATTTGAATCGGCCGTTATGGATTCTATATCAAGAGTTAAGTTTAAGTTTCATGTCGGTTTGTCGGTGTCTACACTACATTTAACACAAACAAACAGACATAACTCTTTGATGAAAATTCTTTAAAAAGGGTGTCCCACATCAAATTGCATCACGGGAAAAACGCTGTAGAAAATTACCTAGTTGACCGATCCTTTTCAAACTTTCAGACAATAAAATAAAACCCATTAATAAGCTTAACCCACCGTACGCTTAACTCCACTCATTAGGTTCTGTACAACATCTGGCTGCAGCTTCTTCTGTACGGAAACCCACTTTTTCTTCATCTCTTCCTCAGATTTGACCTCCTTGGGATGCTTCCGTAGTGCCTGCTTCATAATAGCCCAGTATTTTCGATGGGCCTTAGTTCCAGTGTGGGGGGGGGGGGGGTTCATGTCCTTGGGTACGAAAGTGACCCCGTTGGCTTTGTACCACTCCAGGACAACATTTGAATAGTGGCACGAAGCTAGATCCGGCCAGAAGATCGTAGGGCGCTCGTGTTGCTTCAACAGAGGAAGCAGACGCTTCTGTGGACACTCCTTGAGGTAGATCTCCCCGTTTACAGTCCCGGTAGTCACGAACGGTGCACTCCGTTTGCCACATGAGCAAACCGCTTGTCAAATCATGTATTTCTTGGCAAACTTTGAAAGTTTCGGCTTCCTTACTTCCTCTGGAACATCAAAATTGTGAAGAACAGTAGCCCCGGAAGCTGCCGGAAGTCCGCTTTGACGTGAGTCTCATCATACATGATGAGACAATGAGGCTTCGTCAACATCTGGGTGTACAGTTTCCGGGCCCGTGACTTTCCCACCGTATTTTGCTGTTCGTCACGATTTGGAGCCTTCTGCACTTTGTACGTGTGCAGTCCCTTCCGGTCCTTGGCTCTCTGACCGAAAGACTTGGACGGATTCAACTTTTTGGCCTCATCCCTGACCGAAACATTGGGATTCCGCTTAAACGCTTTCACAACACGCTTGTGATCCTGATCGCTAATAGAACATCCATTCTGACTGCATTTCTCCTACCGTTCGATGCTCAGAGTTTCGTAGTAACGTTTAATCCCACGGCTCACCGTTGACTGCACGATTCCGAGTTGTTTTCCGATGTCCCGATTTTTCAGGTGCTCAATTCGCCACGTTGCTTTTCGGGTGACTCCATTTTTTCCAACTTTCGAAAAACTGACAGCGATAAAAATACAGTATAAACAATACACTCTTAACTACTTCTACCCCAATTTTCAAGAGAAATACCCAGTGGGTAATTTTCTACAGCGTTTTTTCCGTGATGCATTTTGATGTGGGACACCTTTATATCAAAAATCTATGCAGCTTTCCATGCCCGATAATGGCGGCCTGTTTGTATGAATAAATGTATCCTTCACTGTGCTTTTTGACACTAACTGGAGGGCGTATGTTGTTCCATTATCTTCTGTCCCTGGGAGAGGGAAAGGGAGGGGTCAAAACCCGACATCCAGATAGTGTCAAAAAGCACAGTGAAGGATACATTTAGTCATACCAACAGGCTATCACGATTGTGAATTTACGTTTTCGGCTTTCGCACCGATAGTGGCTAAACTTATCGTCAAATTTCGAGCTGAAATTGATCGCAGAGTTTCGTGATTGTTTGTTTGCGACAATATTGATATACCTAACCACGAAGACTGAAAATTGAAGGCTGAGATCCAACTACAGACCCAGCTACTCAAGAAACGGAAGATCCGAATAGCCCAGGGATTTTTTTTACATCACTTGTTGTGATGCTACATGAATGAATTTGAATCTGGGACCAGCATGCGCACACTGGTCGTCACGAAACTGTCCTCTGGGAGATCGGAAACATCCACAAAAGTGGTCAATTCATAAAAATTTTCGAAATATCGATCTTCGTATGGTCATCTTATAAAAGTTGCGCACCAAAATGCATAGAGGCATTTTCGGATGCTAATCTGGCTAACTAGATTAAATATTTTCGCTTGTAAATGTATCAAGCTCGGTTGGTCGAATTTAATACGATAGATCTATTAACATCAGGAACAAAAAATTAAACCTTTAAGAAGTTCTGATTGATAGAAATGTGGGGAAGTTAAAAGATCATTAAGAGTAAGTTTCGACAGCTCCAGCGCAATCTAATAGATTTCAAGAAAATTAACATCAGTGAAGATCAAGAGCTTCAGGGCAGTTCCATTAAATTCAGGAAAATTTAAGTTTAATGACCTATGAGTAAGTTACGTGAACTTCGGGTAAGTTCTGAAAATGTTAGGGCAGTTCCATGAATATCAGGAAAACTGTGAGAAATTGGGGGACGTTCCTAAAACTTTAGGTTCGTTTCTAGAACTTTATGGCAGTTCCATTTATTTCAGTAAAATAGAGGAAACCATCAAGAAGTTCTGTCGCAGCCGCTGTAGAGTTGGCCGCACTGCCAACCGCTACGGAGTCGTGACAGGAGCGCCCATTGCTCCGGGACATCAGCATAAACGTCAAACGGACAAAACAGCGCTTGGGTTTCGGCAGCCAACATACTTTCTATTATACTGTAGAGAATTGAATTCTGTCTTTGTTAAGTTGCATTATACTAGTTAAATAATTATTAAAGTAAACCGCTAGTGACCTTTGAATAGAAAGGCACGTTGCAGAAGTAATTTAGTAGTGATTAGTTGGAAGGAGGATTAAATCGAAGGTAGCTATTGATTGGCAAACGGAAAGATCGAATTATGATTGTGATTTATTTAGGGGAAACAGGTATCTGTTGGACTCGTTGTTGGATTAGGGCCGGAAGCTGGCATTCAGGAATTGTTGAAATATTGAAAGGCAAACTGAATTGTAAGTTGCTCATTAAATTATTAGAGGGTTCATTCTATTAATTTCTGCTCCAATTACAGTTTTGAAGCGCTTGAAAATACACGCTCTCGAATCTCAGTCGGCCGTTTTATTCCTCTCAACAAGTTCCGAACATTTAAGCAAAGTAAAAAAACTTCAGGGAATGAACCTAAAACATTAAAAAACCTACACAGAAGATCTATGTTTAAAGGAAAGTTTAAAGATCTTCTGGGCAGTTCTATTAATTTGAGCAAGCTTCAGGAAACAATAGAAATCCTCAAGAAAGTCTGAGGAATGAAAAGAAGTACTGAGAATTTCAGGAAGTATAATAGGCAAACTGCGGGAACAAAAGGGAAGTTCCGAAAACTTCTGGAAATTTTGGTGAACTTCAGGCAAACTTCAGGTTGTTCAAAGTGGTTCCAAAAACTTCAGGAACTGCAGGAACTTTTAAGAAAATTTGAGAATTTCAGGGATATCTAGCGAACTTTAGAGAAGTCAAAATAATTTTAGAGATGTGGAGAGGTAATTTGAGGAAAATTTACATTTTAAAAAACTTCCAAGTACCTCAAAGAAATTAGACTAGATGGCTTTAGGGAATTTCACAGATATTAACGGCACTTCCAATAACTTCATAACTTCGTGAAATCCAAGAAATTCCAGACTTTCAGGGAAGTTCGAAGATTTATCGGACCTTAAAATTCCGGTCAATTCCATAAGCTTCAGAAAAACTTCGAGAATTTTTTTGACAGTTCTATTTAGTTCAGGGTAATAAGAAGAACTTCAATAGAATTGAAAGAACTTCAAGAATGCTTCGAAAACAGAAGGACTGATCAGATAAACTAAGAACAATTCAACTAATTTCAAGGAAATTGAAGAATGCTTAAGAAGTTCCAAGAATCTCAGGGAATTTCCTAAACTTCATCAAAGAATCAAGACCTTTATTTAAATTTCAGATTAATAAGAGATGTTACATGAGCATCAGGAAAATGTGAGATCATTTCAAGGGAGTTCCATGGTTTTCAATGCAGTTTAAAGAACTGCAAAATAATGCAGGAACTTCAGCGACGATCAGATTATGTTCAAGAAAATCGTGAGATCTTTTAAAATGTTCAGAAATCTTCAAGAACGTCTAGAGGCCTTTAGAGAAGTATATAGATTTTTTGGTAGTTTCATTATATGTTGGGAAGTTCTTGAAACTTCGTAGATGATTCGAGATATTCATATCAGCAAAAAATATAGAGCTTCACTGAAATAGTTGAAAACGTAAACCCGCTGGTGACAAATCGTCGTTTTACCCGTGTAAATTTGAACTGTTTTAGTAGTGTTTTGTGTTATAGAGTGCGAGTTCGTTTGGTGTACCTCTGTGAAGTGTAGGATTTCGTGTAGCTTTGTGGATAAGTTGAGAAATTGTAGATTAAAAGTGTCGTC